GGAATTTGGGAGACTATTTTTGAGGAATGAAACTTTTAGCATTACAATTACAATGAATTTAAAGTTTATCAGTGTCAGACAATACTAACATTATACCACTTTAATGTTACACAAGAAGCATTAAGAAAATGATTTTTTTCCTGCACTCATTTGCTTTGTCACAAAAACATTAAAAATAAAAAGAAAGAATACTCCCTCTTTCAGAAAAAAGGAGCTTCCAACCAATGTTCATCTGTCAGTCATTCACCAGATGCCTGGTGAGCTCACCTATCACAAATAGCTTAAGACTTTGACTTAGAGTAGACCAGAGTCTTTTAATAATGGACCTCTTCAGAAAAACACATTAGAAATTTAATAACCTATCCTCTTTTTTAAAAACCTAAAATTCAATTCCCAATAATACATATATGCTAGGGAATTAGCATAAAACAGCCTATAAATTCAAGGTTTCTCTATTCCATACTCTTTCTATTGTCAGTTCCTTAGTTAGAACATACAGATGAATTACATTCAGATTGCATATTTGAAAAATTAGTGTTCTTCCGGAACACTTTCACCTTAGATATTCTAGTTTCATACTTCTTTGGAAGAGGTGATGTACTTCCAGTAATCATTTCCACTGTTTGATCTTATTATTTATCTCTTTCTTCAGAATAACTTGAAATACATTTTTAAAATAGCTTTTATTTTTTGAGGACAATCTATAAGATACATATTTAAAAAAATATATTATCTCATTTAATAGTCAAACAACTATATGAGATATGGAGATTTATTATCTCAATAACAAGTGAGAAGGTCCCAAAACTAGTGCAGAGATGGAGAACATCAAAGTTATGCCATCTTGCCTCCAAAGTTCTTAAAAGACAATGAATGTTAATTTATTTCAAATATAGCATAATGGCAATTAAGTACTGAGTACACAGGAAAGTGCTTAAAAGTATGTTTTAATGCTAACTGAATGCTCAAATTTTAGAAAAGTTAAAAGTTGACCAATGACCGTCCCATTCTTACCGATAATTTGATACAAAAGATAGTTCTCTATACAATAATTAAAATAGTTCAAGAATAGTATTCTCACCCCATTTATAGTGATAACAATCACCAGAACTAGTACTACTCCTCATGTAATTTGGCTCTCTTTTTAAGAATAATTTCTAAGGGTTCTCTTTCCTAATATGTTTTCAAGTTTTAGAATCCCAGGGAAAATACCAGGGCCAATTTCCTGGTCCCTACACAATTACTTTGCAATGGAATTTGTGTCTTACAGAAAAAAATCAATTATTTCAGGCAAAGGGTATTAATTAGAAAAATAAGATGAACTTAATCTATGCTTTCTTAATTTTTTTTTTTTACTCACTACACAATTATCTCCCCTTATGATAAGTGGTGATATCTAATGGTTGTTAGTTTATGAGGATGAAAAGGGCATAAACCAACCACTCTGGTGATAAAAATCAGATGGCTTCTTTTGAGTAAAGAATCCATATAACCCATGAGAAGAGAAGCCTTTCACCTAGGCCCATACCTTTAAAAAGTGCTGTTGGCCAACGAACTTTCTGCACTATAATTTTTCAACCTGGAAAGAAATTCAGGGAACATATTGCCCTGATATTTTATAGAGAGGTACCATTACATTGCTAAAGTAGTTTTGGTTCTTACTTGTTAGATAATGTCTGCAAAATATTTTAGTACACATCATTCAGAGGAGT